CAGAGATAAGGAGAGCCCCTAGTAAGCATAAGGAAGGAAGAATAGGACCCACCTTCATCCAGTGGGCTGATTACATTGCAAGCACCGCTATCCTTTAACAATACGAAGCCCATTAAAACTCAGGAACGAACAATGATACATTTTGTAGATGAGTAAACCTGATGTCTGATATAATTAGATAACTTTTCCAAGTTTTATAGCTAGAAGTGGGATGAGCCAGGTTTGGACCCTGCTACGCCTGCTTCCAGGCCTGTGGTGCTTAAGCGATAGCATGCTGCCAGTGCTGGAGGCCATGGGTACAGCTCTGATGCCGAGGAGCGTAAACACGTTTCTGCGTTAAAGCTGAAGTCCAGGGCAAACCTGGATGATGATTTTCCCTGGCTGCCTTCAACTGCGTGAAGCACTGGGCTTAAAGAACCTGTTTGGAAAAGGAAGGCGGCGGCTGGGTTGTCCTGTCCCTCTGTGACAGGTGAGCAATCTCTCTCCTCCTTAGTTTCTGCTTTGACACATCCTGGGGCACTGGCAAAGAAATGCATGTTGCTGCCAGGAATGATTTCCTCAGTCCCTGCCCTACATCATCAAAGTCAGCAGCAACCGAGTTAAATGGGTAACCATCCATTGGAGTGGAGAGGAAAGAGTTCTGCGAGGAGGAAGGACCGACGACCAGGAAAGGAGAGTGAGTGACAGCTGACATTCATGCAGTGCTTATTAATGTACCTGGCACTGGGCTAGGTACCTGAAGCACACTAACGCATGTAATCCTTACAAGCCCCCTAAAAGGTAGCTATCACTAACCCTAATTTTTGAAGAGTAAATGAAACCCAGAAAGAGGTTAAATAATTTGCCTAAGGTCACAGGGCTAGAAAAAGAGAAACTCTGAATTGATTTTGGCCAAGGCTGTGTGACTTTTCCTACTCCACCAGAGGGTCTGACACAGGCTGTTAGTTACTGTTGGGTGGATCCCACCTTGTGGTGGGTGCCCCCCAGGATGCAGACGTTTCAAGACCTTGCAGAAGCAGGACCAGCCCTGTCTTCCAAGGCACCTCCAGGCCGCTCACCCGCCACCCATCTGGTGACTCCTCAAGCTCTTAACTGCTTGCGCACCACCTAGGGACTCTGACAACAGCGCTTTATACATGAAGAGTTCTCTTTCCCCTTAAGTTCCTTACAACTTAAAATTATTGCTTTTAATATCTTCCCTGACTGTATGTATATACTTCGTGTACTTCTTTTACGTAACAGCGTTATTAAGCCGTAACTTACATATCTTTCATATGCTTTTAAAATAACATACCACATAATCATCTTAAACTATTCTCTCCAGACTTTAATGATAGAAAATTCAAAATAGGAGAATATTGGAGTTGGTAAAGGAAGATGAACTTACTTGCTTACGTTCACGCTGCGTCTTAAAAGCTGAGAAAATAACTCGGGCTTAAATTAATTGATATTGTTATTACTCTTAAAACTAACTTGCTTATTTAGAAATGGTACTAGTGTGACATCAGCTATGTACGTATCTCCGAATATGGTATTGAACAATTCCACAAGATAACAAAAATGTATACTTTATCAATTTTGTTGACGACAACTATTCTATTTTCTTTTCATGTTGACCAGTTGGGTATAACCTCCCTTCCGGTTCTCTCTCATTGACTACATCAGAACAAGCCAGTGACACTGCAATCACATGACAGACGGACAGTGCCCTTGGTCATCTGTGAACCAGCCGCATCTTCAGAGCGAGCAGACCCTGTGTCTAGACCACGTTCTTTGTGACTGCTCGCCGCCTCGGTGGGTGTGAGCTGTGGTCCAATCAACTGCAAATGTACAGCATCAAAGGGCGAAACGTTCAGGTTAGTTGTTAGGTAATAGTTCAAAACGAGAAACACTCGAGAAGCTCGGCAAAGGACACGCCAGCAAACATCACCTGACAAGGCAAAGAATTTCTGAACTGCCAATTAGTGGCATCAAAGGGCAAAAAGTGGTCAGGTAATATTTCAAAATGAAAAACACTCATTCGTTATCAAGTATTATTTTTTAGACTATCCATCCTAAAGAGCAAAAGTACATATTCCAAATAAAACTACATCTCTCACTGAGTTTTGCATATAAAATTTTGTTGATGTACAAATTCGAATGTAAACCAAATTCTAGGTTTTATGTTACAAATTTTACTTGTTTTATACATTTCACTTATTTTTGATCATTCAAATTTATTTATTGTGGTAAAATCAAAATACTTAAAGTGACATAATTTTATATCCTGGCAAAATAAACTGGCAACAGCTAATGAGTAGAAATTGAAAGCTCACAGTAGATAAAAAGAAAAGAATTTGTGAGTTTCTAGAGCTGCCTGGTTGTGTAGTTGTTACATATTGGGCTGTGATCCTCAAGATCAGCAGTTCAAAATCACCAGTAGTTTTTTGAGAGAAAGATGAGGCTGCTGAGAAAGTTAAAGTTAATTGTGCCAACCTGGCCGATGAACACATGTGGGGTTAATTGAAAGGCAGAGAGATAAATGGCTTGGTGAGCCTTGCCTTTTGAGTTCTCGGGTCTCTTGCTTTCTGATGGTCGGACCAGGGTGCAGCTGCCTTAGCCAGTTCCCTGCTTCAGCTGGCAAGGCTCACTTCCTGCAAGGCATCCCTGAGGAGAAGCCACATGGACCTACACCGATGCAGCCCTGGGTGCTGGAGCAGCCGTGTGGAGACCCCTCCCAGTGCTGAGATGCTTACAAGTTCACTGATTGGGCTTTCCTCCTGCCGTCGGCATCATTGCATGTGTTTTGTGAGATGGAGGAGGACTTTGTGGATTACTGTCGGACATATGGGTTAATGTTGGACTTGTGGGCTTGGGCAGCCCTGGGTTGGGATGTTTTCTTGGTGTGCACTTACCCTTTATATAAAACTCTCTCTTATACATATGAATTTCTGTGGATTGTTTCTCTAAAGTACCCAGACTAACACAGGCTGTCTACTCCCGTAAAAAGATTTACAGTCTCTGAAACCCACAGGGGTGGTTCTATGAGTTCTACCTGGTTGCTATGAGTCAGAATTGACTGGATGGCAGTCTGTTTCGAGTCTTACAGACAATTTCAAAATTAGATTCCTTTTTAAAAATTAATGAATCAGAAGAGACTTCTTTGGTTGAACGCTTGACTTTGATGGGTACAAGTCTTTTTGCGAGTGCTGCTACAGCTAAGCTTACTACTAGCAATATGAACACAGCAGAATTTGTTTCAGCTCCACATCCATCCCTGGATAGAGTGAAAAGTAACGGTGTAGGAAATCAGACTGCTTTAGAATGGGAAAGTGTCTCATCTCCAGACCCCACAAATAAAGATGCAGACCCTGCTTTGTAGGATAGTCGTTCTATAATGATGTGAACTACTAGATTAAAAGCAGGTCAAGTGATTGTCAACATTCAGGGGACATATGAAAATTCATGTCAAAAATTTCTGGGCACTAAGCAAACAAGGTACTGTAGCCAGAATACATTTCTAGGGCACAAGGTTCTAACTCTAATGGTAGAAATTATAAGGTAGTGTCTATTATATATTCTCCATTGGCTGGCCCTATATATTGTTTTGTTTGCAAACTATTTAGTCCATAATCATTTAATTCTTGATTTGCTATGGATGAATTTAGAGATCGGTACAACTTGAATGCGATGGATAGAGATGTAAACAGTTCCATTCACAGAGATTGCGTGTTGCACGTTTAAACTGAAAAGTGGCTCGGGCTTAACTTGTGAACTGGAAAGAGCAATCAAGAGAAAATCTTACATTGGAAAGGCATTTTACAGTGCATCATTGTAGCCATCAGTATAATAATCATTGGACGCGGGCAATTTTTTCAAGGAAGAAATAAATGTTCAGATTCCCACAAAATGGGAATTTCTTTTATTTACTTAAACTTGTTGCTCAGATTGACCGATTTTTAACAGGCCTCATCTCAAACTTCGATAAGGCAGGAAAGGTCAACTCATTACATATGACTAATATATAACGTGAAGAATTCATAAACTTAACAAGCAATAAAGTTCCATCACCTATTTTCAGCAATATAAGTATAGCCTGATATTTCAGTTTGTCTGTCGATTCCATTTCTGGTATTTCATACAGATCATCTATGTGATGTTTTAAGATCTCCAACAGACGAAGGTCTATGGATCGATGTATCACATTTACTGGCTTCAGGGTTTAGCAGAGAACCAGAGTTTCAGTTTGTACCATCCCTCCAAGTTAGCGGGCGTCTCCATGCTCCCAGAGCCACCATTATCCTCTTGGAGAGAGCCTAAAGTGGAGTGTGATGGGGAGGCGGGGGGCAAGGGGATGTCATTCTGTCTGAGAGATAAGACAGGTAAAGCAGAAAGCCATGGCAGTGGGCACCAGGTTCCTGGCTATCTGTCCATTCCCTCTGTCGAACACTCTGTTGCCATGGACGACCATTATCCTGGCAGGAATGCTTGCGTGAGAACTCTAGGAAGGTCTCTCAATGCAGCTATGCCTCGCCCCCTCGCCCATCTCCTCATCTACTTACTCGCTTATTCGTGTGTCTACACATGTTTGCACTTCTTAATTTACCTTGTTAGCATCTTTGTGGAGGACTAGGCAGTGAACTGGACCGAAGCCAGGTGGACCCTGGAAGCTTAACCACCTCCCCAGGTAAGGTTTAGAGATGGCAGCACTGAGGAGCAGCCGGGGTGGGGGTTAGGGATGGTTAGCACAGCTCTTTCGCCTAAAGGTATGCGGGAGGGGCGATGCTACCAGCCGAGGTTGCGCAGTGCGCCCGCAGAGCGCGCATGCGCAGGGGAGCACTAGGTGAGCGGGGAGAATCGGGCTCGGCCCCTCTGGACCGTTGGGTGGGCGGCGGGGAGGGCGAGCTCACGACGCATGCGCACATGCTCCTGCTGGCCGGCGCTGGGGCATCCAATACCGGTGGCAGTACCTTAGAAGGCCCCTTTCCGGAGGGCAGTGCCTGCCCGCACGCAGAGTGGCCATGAACGGTGCCCACGGTGGCCCGGCCCGGCCGTGGGCGGCGCTGGCCGTGGAGGCGTACAGCTGCCAGTACGGTTCGCCCAAGTACCTGCTGCTGTGCGGCCTGGGCGGGATGGTGAGCTGCGGGCTGACGCACACGGCCATCGTGCCCCTGGACCTGGTCAAGTGCCGCATGCAGGTGGACCCCCACAAGTACAAGAGCATCGTGAGCGGCTTCCGGGTGACGGTGCAGGAGGACGGGGTTCGCGGCCTGGCCAGGGGCTGGGCGCCCACCTTCTTCGGCTACTCCATGCAGGGCCTCTTCAAGTTCGGCCTCTACGAGGCCTTCAAGATCCGCTACGCGGAGCTCCTGGGCGAGGAGCGGGCCTACCTGTGGAGGACCGGCCTGTACCTGGCCGCGTCGGCCAGCGCCGAGTTCTTCGCCGACGTCGCCCTGGCCCCGATGGAGGCGGCCAAAGTCCGCGTGCAGACGCAGCCGGGCTATGCGCGCACCCTGCGGGCCGCGGCGCCGCGCATGTTCGCCGAGGAGGGCCTGCGGGCCTTCTACAAGGGCGTGGCGCCGCTGTGGCTGCGGCAGGTGCCCTACACCATGATGAAGTTCGCCTGCTTCGAGCGCACGGTGGAGGCGCTCTACAAGTACGTGGTCCCCAAGCCGCAGAGCCAGTGCACCAAAGCCGAGCAGCTGGGCGTCACCTTCGTGGCCGGCTACATCGCCGGCATCTTCTGCGCCATCGTGTCGCACCCGGCCGACTCGGTGGTGTCCGTGCTGAACAAGGAGAAGGGCAGCACGGCCTTGGGAGTGCTGCGGGCACTGGGCTTCGTGGGCGTGTGGAAGGGCCTGTTCGCGCGCATCGTCATGATCGGCACGCTGACCGCCCTGCAGTGGTTCATCTACGACTCCATGAAGGTGTACTTGAGGCTGCCCCGGCCCCCGGTGGCCCGAATGCCGGAATCCCTAAAGAAGAAGGGCCAGGGCCAGGGCCAGGGCCGCAGGCCCTACTGGCCCGTGTTCCCTCCGCGGTGAACTGCCTGCAAGAACGCACAACTGCTGGGGGGCACGCGCGTGGCTCCGGGAGTGGGGGGCGCACAGGGCGCTGTCCGCATTCTCCCAGGACTGACGCCTTCGTTTTTGGCAATCAAAAGGGCATTGCAAACGTTTCGTTTGGAGGTCCAGACCGTTATCCTTGGGGGAATTTGCATGGTTGCTTTAATAGCTTTTCAGCAATGATGAGAAAAGGGCTTCTTCGCAGGTAGCCGTGTTAGGGCAGGTAGTGCCTGTAGATTGTACCCTGGGCTCCCAGGCTCAGTGGTCATTATCCAGGCATACGTACAGCACGGGTCGCCAGCGGGGCTTTGGGTCAGCACGACCACTCGGGATGGGCCACGAAGTAAATTTCTGGTATGTGGGATTCAGCTCAATAGAAATTGCACCCCTCCTGAATAGATGAAAGATTCCCGCCCCATTTCCCGTTCGAGACAGAAACGGTTGAAAGTTAAATTGGAAAGTATATGGCTTAGTAGTGCAGAATGTTTTAACTGCTTTCAAAGAGACATGAGAAGATCTGCGTTTCCTCATCTGCTTTGTCCACGTCTATTCCCGATGTTGCTGATTAGAACACAGCTCTCGCCAGGAAGTGCGAAAATTGGATCAAAGTGGAAAGCCAAAAGGAGAGATGAAGGACAGGCTCTAGGAATAAATATGTAAAGAAAAAAAACCCTCTGTTCTCCAAAGATTTCTTTTATATGACTCAGCTTTCAACAGCCAGGCATTAAAAGAAGACATATACCACCCTGACCAAAAAAAAACCCCAATTGCTGATTCCAGTATTTTGTTGAATATTAATGGTTTTGTTTGGATTCGAAGGGAAATCCCATGTTTTATGGAACACGTTTAATTTGATGACTCAATAGGTGTTTTTTTTTTGGGGGGGGGTGTTTGGTTTTAACAATGGTTGAGACTCATGAAATGTATTAAAGTTAGAAGGTATATTTTTGTTTCTATGTAACTTTCACATCTCTGGGGAAATTATAAAGTCAGTGAAATTCTATGAATTAGAGATATTTGTAAAGTGAATAATAAGTAAACTACAATATGATAATTGATAGAATTTACCAAAATCTTCCATGATTGCCTTATCTAGAGTACAAACTTAGAATATGTTAATGATTTCCTTTGTAGTAGTAAACTGTTTTAGGATGTAATAGAAGTTAAAAGGTGTCTAGATTTAAGCAGTATATTTGAGCCATCTTGACTGGATAATAAAGACCTTGGAGAAAAGAGAAAAAAAAGCCTGAACTTGTGAATGAGATGGAATGAAACGGATGTATTTACACTTAGTGCTTCTATTTTATTGTGTGGGTAGACATGCAGGAGCAATCTAATTTAGGGAACTACAAAATCCATGGTAATTTCAAAATAATAAACCACTAGTCTGTGGTATTTCATAATTATAACAACACCAAATAACTTCCACAGGATACACTGTGTGCTTAGAAAAATAGAAAGATGTTTGCATCTAACGACCTCCTCTGGCATCAATAGCCATAGGAAGATTCCTATGAGGCATGTCAGACAAGTCTCTCTGGCCTTTTTAACAATGTCGCCGTCCCTCCCCGAGCACCCTCTGCCTCTCTGCTGGGTTCAACCATCTGTGGCAATCCCCACAGGGAGCTGAGACAATTTCAAATTATGGATGCTTCTTTGAGAATTACCCAAACCAGATCCATGACTGTCCATTTGATTCAAACTCATAGTGACCCTATACAAGGTTTCCAAGAATGTCCATCACTCTGTACAGGCATGGAGACCCTGGTGGGCTAGAACCACCAGCCTAGTAGTTCGCAACCCAACTCTTAACCCATAGCTCCAAGTACCAGGTTACAATTCAGGGTCAGGAACTCTTCATGATGCAATTCTTCGGTCAGGACAGCTGCTGGGCCATGCCCATAGGCAAGCATCTTTCTGGTCCTCGGCTCCCAGACTTCTTGTGTCACCCACCCTGACATCTGCTCTGGTGGGACAAGTGTTACAAGACTCTTTAGCTTCGTCAATCAATGCCCAGGGACACCCTATTCTGCCAGTGAATTTTGGCCCAAAGTTGCTCAGCTCTCTACCATTGAAATAAGTGAACCTCGGTCTGACAAGTGCCCAAAGGCACTTTTACTAAGCCAACAAGCCTCCTGCCCAAAGATACTCAACTTTCGCACTCCGTGGGCTGGCAAACCCACAGTGCCATCTCCTGCAAGTCTGATGGCTGCTGTCACCATGCCTGCCACTGCATCTCATTTCCGCGATCCCAGTTCTGTGTCTCCTGGATGGAGGAAGTCCAAACCAGGGATCCTGGGTCCAAACAACATTCTCTTCTCTCTTGGCAGCAGGAAGATTCCTTGCCACCACCTCCCCTCCCCCCTTTCACTTCTGGGATGGCTCCTTTTAAGCCTAGCCAGATGCAAAACTAAATTGTCCCTCACAAGGATGTATTGCACCTTATTTTGTTATTAGCAAGCCAACCAACCCCCTTAGTGGGCCGCAAACACTTCATTTGCATAGCACCACCCAGTCAGGTTGCTAAGTTAGTTACAAGACCATGGTGAAAGGGGCCATATAAAAGCAATCCGTCACCCTGCTGGAAGTAAGCTGACCTCGATGGCCTGATGCCGGCTGTCATGGACATGGTCCAGATGAGTTGACTCATTTTGAGTCAGACGTTTTCATATGCAGTCCCCAGACTTCCATCTTCCCTGCCTTTTGTATTGGTGGCGTGGTAGGTGCCATCAAGCTGGTGAACTTACGACGATGCTATATAAACAACGGAAATGAACACTGCCCGAGATTCGGCACCATCCTCACAGTTGCCGTGTTTGAGCACGTGGTTGCAGCCACGGTGTCCATTCATCTGGTCAAAAGACTTCCTCTTTTACATGGACCCTCTACTCTAGCCAGCATGAATGAGGCTATTTTTCAGAGGCTGGTCTCTTCCTGAGAGACCAAAGTCCATGAGGCCTCGTTTCTCCATTTCAATGTGAAGGCAAGTCCTACACTCCTTCCAGGACAGATACATTTGTTCTGCTGGCATCCATGGTACTTCCGATATTAATCACTGATACCATAAATTAGAAATTATTATTTTCATATCTTACACCATCCACTGTCTCCCTTCACCCATGTTTCTGTCATTTGTCACCCTGGGGTGGTGGTGGTGGTTATACATTGATTATTGCCATTGGCTCCCCCTTTCGCCCCCCACCTTCCCTCTACCCTCATGGGTCACTGCTCCCATTACTGGCCCTGAGGGTTATCTGTCCTGGATTCTGGGTGTCCTTTACTCATTTTCCAAGCCCCCAGCACCTTGATTTAACCACCTGACTACCCCTTTCATTTCGTTGGAGTATTTCTATGCATTTGAATACCCGGACTTGTATAAAGTTGCAGTAATGGAAATGTATCTCAATTTTGAAAAACCATGGCACAATTACTTAGAAGTCATCAAACTGCAAAGTACTTAACATGCGACTTACTGTTGAAACCATTTTCCAAACCAAGTCAGTGCCTCGGTCCTCAGGTGAAGGGACTGATCCTAAACAGGTGATTTCTTTCACTTTCACAAACTGCTGTTTGAACAAAAGATACTTTATTTTATCACATTTCCCGTCCCACCCCATCCCCTCTCATCTTTGACTTCAATAGCCAAGGAAGCTGGCTCAAGCTATTTATCTGTCCTGCGCCCCCACCCCAGGTGGTGATTAAAGTAGCTTTCTGAAGTACATGAAATTAATTTCATTATAGGGAGTTGTAATCGCTACCATTGATCTGTCTTTTGAGAAGTGAATAAAGGGAGAAGGAAAAATCTTGAAAAACAAAGGCCGTATTTACATGTTAATGCCACACTGATAAGGCTGAAAAGATTCAAGGTATTAATGTTATGAGAATTTTCCCTCCTGGTACAAGTGTGTCTTTACAAAGTATTTCTTTTGAGGCTTTCAAAGGCAGGATTAATCACCCAAGTCAGAAGATCACATTTTGATAGGCAGCCATTCAATTATAGTTTGCTTGTTTTATGTGGTCTTAAAGCTCCTTTTTTTTTTTTAAATCACGAGTAAAGAACTCTTTGAAAGGAAATTTAAATTTCAATATCATATAGAAGACAGTCTTGCCTTCCTGAATGATGCTGTTTGGGTGTGTGGGTGGATGAAGAGGGAGGGCACTAAAATCTTGCATAGCTAAGGAGTGTGTGTGTGTGTGTGTGTGTGTGTGGCCTTCCGTGGTAAAGTGTCCAGAGTTTTCACACTAATTCTGCCTATGCTCCATCCTTTTAACACTATGAACCTCTACTGCATGCCCAGCCGGGACTCCTGGTAGTATCGTGGATTGCCAGCTATACTGACAACCGAAAGTTCAGCAATCAGAACTCTCCGGGAGCGGCTTTCAGCGGCTGCTTCCATCCCCTCCCTGTAGCGTTGCTATGAGACAGGTGGACGCGATGGCACCGAGCTTGGTTTCGTTGTGGTTGTTTCGGGTTGTTTGGTTGGTTTCACATGTGCCAAACCAGACAATGTCGTTTTTATGGTGAACATAATATAGGAGGGGGCTCCCCTAAAAAAACAGAATTTTTTTCAAAGCTATGTATATAAATTTTTTTTTTTTTACAAAACAACCTTATCACCTTCAAAGTACTCTCCATGACACTTAATACATCTGTCAAACCTGCGATTCCATCTTTGGAAACATTTTTCAAACTCATCTGTTTGGATAGCTGACAGCATTTCCCTCATTTTCTTTCGTTGCCTCTTCTACACCATCAAATCGCTGTCCTTTCATGTCCCTCTTCATTCGGGGAAACAAAAAGAAGTCTCACAGAGCGAGGTAAGGGAGTAAGGTGCATGGGGCAGAGTGGCATGCTTTTCTTGGCCCAAAACTGGCACAATGAGATGGCTGTGTGAGCAGGTGCATTGTTGTGGTGGCAAAACTGGTCCCCTATCTGCCACAAACCAGGCCTTTTTTTGGTCACACACTGTTATGCTATC